TTAGAGAGAGAAACAGTGAGCAGGGGAGAGAGGCAGAGGGAGATAAAGGGTGAATCTTAAGCAGGCTCCAAGCTCAGCAGAGAGCCAGATACAGGGTTGGATCCCACAAGCCTGAGGTCATGACCTAAGCCAAAATCAAGAGTCAGATGCTAAACCAACTAAGCCATCCAGGCACCCCTTTCAATACATTTTAAAACTTAAATATAAAAATCTTGAAATGTCCAGGGTGTAATTACAACTTCAATACATAGTTCATCATGACTAATCTAATTCAGGTGTGGATTTAAGCCAATAGAAATGTTACTGTTGGCTTATGATGATCTCATTTAAGCATTTCTCATAATGAGAGCTGATGTTTCAAACAGTATAATGGAATGGCTTAACTCCAAAAAGATTTAATATATATCAATAGAATAACTGGTCCTTTCAAAAAGATACTAATTTAATTCCATAACTTATTTGGTCAGTCATAAAACATCTGGCAAAATAAATAGCTAGAAATTTATTATATGATTGAAGGTGTCTAAGTGGAGAGAGTACAAGTGTTACTTGAGTGATCCTTTCCCCAGCTACTTCAGGTTACAGACTTGCAGTTGTATACTAGGCAGAATACAGTAGGGGTTACGAGTATGAATTTAGAAGCTAGATGATCTGAGTTTAATTCATTTACTAAGTGGTGGGACCTCAGGCAAGTTTCTTAACACTCTTTGTCTCCATTTTCTCATCTGTAAAATGGAGATAATAATAATATAAGAGATCTATCTCATAACGATTTGTATTATTAGATATATGTAAAGAATATACAACAGTGGCTGGCACATAGTAAGCATTAGTATTTGGTATTATTATCAAACAACATGTTTCTTCAGGTCTCCAACCTATTTTGTCCTTCTTTACATTACAAAAGATTACAATTTCTTGACTCTTCATGAGTTCTTCCTATGTGATTATTCCTTTTCTGGGTACTTCTCAGCTCCAACTTTGCTTCCTTTCTTTAATATTCTATTTACCTTCCTCAATGTGAAGCAGATTCCAAAGTGATATATACAATACAAACTGAGTGGTATACTGCAAGAAAATATTAAAACTGCTCTTTAGTTTTAATTAAATTTAGAAATAAATTATTACTAATATTTAATACATAGAATAAGTTTTGTATGCCCTCACTAGATCCATACTTGAGACTGTTTTGTATCACAAAGCATATCTGAGGTATCCCAAGAGAAGAATAAGAAGAGTTCAATGCTCAAGGGGGTTAGTATTATAACACTTATGTTAGTATTATGACACTCTTTACAGGTTTATTCATTTTGTAGGTTGCATATCACCAATGCAATGGATTTAAATATATTTTAAAATATTTATTTTTAATTCTTCACAAAATAGAAACAGATTTTGGGGAAAAAAAACAGAAAAATCTGAGTATGTAATCACAAATGAATTATAATAAATATGGAGGCACTAACCCTGCTTATATAAGCTTATCTTATACCACTATTAAAGTTAAAGCCATGATGATCTAATGACATCTGACAAGAAACTGATCTAGCAGTGTCTGCATTTAATTCTATAAACAAACATATGCTGCAAACCACACTATAATATAAGAAATGAGAACTATATACTCAGTCTTCTGATTACCAAAGACAGAAGGAAAAAAACCTTTTGTCTATTTTTTATCAGATATTTAGAAAATAGGCTTTGTTCAGAACTAAGGTAATTACCCAGTAGTTACTTCTGTTATTTAAAGCTAGATTGAGACTTTTAATTTACAACAGAAAGACTTAAGAATAACAGACAATATCCATTTTAGGGTGAGTTAACCAACATAATTTTATTAGATATTCAATTTCATCTTTTTAAAATTTTTTTACTGATCCATTTATTCTTTCTATCATGATTTGGATTTTCTTATAGATATGGGTTAGGATTGACCATTTATATGCTTTACAACTATTTTCATTGTTATCTATCTTTTTAAATTACTAAACTAACATTCTATTTCTGTACTGACTTTCTGAATGGGTCTAAGACAGGAGATATGCTGACTATGAAATCACATACTCATACATTCTGGTATATAAGAGCTATTTTAGAAAGTTACTTTTAATTAATAAACTGGAATGCTGTTGATATACATGACTCCTAGGAGCAAGATTTAGGTTTATATCAGGTAGTTACTTCTTAAGTACTCTCCCTACAAGGTTAAGAACTCCTCCACCCTTTTGAGAAGAAGCATGGGGTAGAGTGAGAGGAGAGGAGAATAATTTTTTAGTTTTATCATAGGTATTCATTATAAAGACAATAAACTAAAAAGTGTTTATTGATGGAATATAAAATAAAAAATCAGACTTTCTAAATTTTACCAAAAAATACAATTGACTGGAGTACCTGTTGGTTCAGTCTGTTGAGTGTCCCACTTCAGCTCAGGTTATGATCTCACAGTTCATCAGTTTGAGCCCCCCATTTTGGGATCTCTGTTGTCAGCACAGAGCCCACTTCAGATTCTCTGTTTCCTTTTCTCCCTCTCTGCCCCTCCCTCATGCATTCGCACTTGTTCCCTCTCTCTCAAAAATAAACAAACAGTAAAAAAAAAAATACAGTTCACCAAAACTAACCTCCCTCTACTCCCAGGGGACTAATGGCCTATAGAGTATTCTGAAAAACAAAAATAGTAAAATACGAACATTTAACAATATGTAGGCATTTAAATGTAGTTTCTTGCGAAAATGCTTAATGATAAAATGAATGGCCTTAGAAAATAATATATAATTCTAATTTAAATGAATATATTCTAATAAAACTGTTAGCTGTACTGTCAAACAGGACAAAACAAAGAAATGTTTTTTTAAAGAATATTTTCTATTATTCACTTGTTACATTTAACTAATTATCAGTTTTGATAACAGTTCAGTATTCTTCTAATACCTGAATATTTGTCAATATTCACGGGAATATTTTCTTAGATACATCATGATCTTCATTTTGCTAAATTCCTCATCTTCCCCTACTTATCTCAATATCTTAGTATAGAGCACTGATAACCTTGTTTTGAATTTTCAATGTATTTCTGCTCGTTCTTGATATTCCTGTATGAAGAGTTTTTTTCTCAAAATCTCTCCCAAACTTTGTTGTGCACTGGAGTCATCTGGTAACCTTTTAAAACCCCTATGCCCTGGTTTCATGCCTTAAAAATTAAATAAGAAAATCTGGGGATGAGGGAGAAAGCCAGGCATCAGTTTCTAAATATACCCAGGTGATATTAATATGCAGCAAAGTTTGGGATCTACTGTCTTAAGCTCTTATAAATGCACTGAAGGTCCACGACACATACTACTTTTTAATCTGTGACCTCAATCACTTGTGTTGCAAGCCTGGCATGGTGGTTAGTACAGTAGTTGATAAGCAAACCTACTACTTGCACCTTATTCTGGCTTGGTTATCTTCTATTTGCCACATATAAACTCATGAAGTTATAATAAAAATCTTAGGTTTAAATGAAAAGTAATTTTAGAAAATTATTTAAGAATCCAGAAATTTTTGAATTTGAGAAGTTAACATGTGCATACATTTTATATTCCATCACAACCCAAGAGAATCTGGGGCAGGACCCTGTAATCAAGAACATTAATATTTCACCAGAAATACATACAAATATTCACACTGGCTGATAAAATAAAAATCACAATTAATAGCCTCAGGTACATTAGGGCTTTGTTTTGCCACCATTAAATTGAGGAAGAAAAATCCTTTGGAATTTCAGAATGTTTTGGATTGCAGAAATGAAGACAAGTGATTACGGACATATAGACACACAGATCACAAAGAAGGTCTCCCCTCCCTCCCATAGAATGTGACTAAATAGTCTGAAAGTCACTGACAGAATGTTTCTGTAAAGATGCATACAACAATGTTTTGGTGTCTGCCACTAGAGTAAAGGTGAACATCTGATGAGAAAGATATATATTGTGTGACGGGTGTTTGTTTTACCATGCATTTGTAGTACTTTCTCAGTTAAATCTAAAAAGCCTGAGAATTAAATGTAAATATTCCTACTACTACGAGTTAAAAAAAAAAAAAAGTTGGAGCCCATGCACTGACAGAGTGGATCTGGGAAAATAAACTTTGTTATTAGTGTTTAAAGTCAAGAAAAGGGAATATCAACAAAAAACAGAAATCTTATTTAAATCAAAACACAGTATGTTAAAACTAGAATTGATGGTGGCATAGAGCATGACATCAAATGAGTTCACCATAAACAGAAACAAAATTGTGAAAGTGTTTCCACACTTACAATCAGCATAAAGCTGATTAATTAGTGAAGACTAGCCCAGAAAACACAGATTGTTTTCCTTTTAAGAAAACACATATTCTATGTGAAAATCAGAATGTTCTCAAGTAGAATGCTCCAAATAGAAGCTTAAGTTTTACACAAACATACAAAAATGGAGTAAGGCGTAGGGAAGTAAGGAGAGATGCACATAAAATAATTTCAGGAATTCTGGATTATATGAAGTTAAGCAGACAGTTTGTCCATCGGGATATCTAGGAACCTTAAATAAGATAATGTGCTTTGACAATCTCTGAAGACGTATAATATGCAGCCACTCACACTTATTTGACTTCCTAATCCTTTTTTCTTTAAAGCATTTAATATGACTAATTCCACAGAACATAAAACTATTGGAGATACATTTATAAATTTGGGAACTTTAGATGGTCTTCAAGAATGAATGTCCAGAATCAACTTCTACTTCACAGCACTAATTTTATTATACTTATCAGTTACCAGTCATTATTACCTCCATGCAATGTAATGAAATCCCCAAAGATCAGTAACTCTGGAATTAGTAGCATGGATTCTTATATAAACGAGAAAATAGAGTATCTTCTCTTAAAATAAACACTAAATCAAAATAAAACTTAAAATATACATATATATTCACCATTTTAAAAATATATGTAGGCAACCTGTATAAATATTGAAATGCTATATATACCTCATCAAATTCTTCAGTCATTTTTCTGATGATTTCTGCATTCTGCATATTTCGAAACATCTCTATTCTCACAGTACCTGTGGAACAACAGATTTTATAGTTAATCTTTTTCTATCCCATGCTAAACATTCAATTTAATCTAATCACTGTTTGAAAATTTTATGTGAAAGGTTTTGGGGTTTTTTTCCTCCCCCAAGCTCCTAGCTAAAGAAATCCCTTGTTTAAGAACTTCAAAGTTCTTTAGACATTTTTTTAAATCCCTGAATATTCTGCAAATAAATATGAGGAGAAAAAAATGAGAAGAGTGTTGGGGCAGGAGAAGACAAAAACCAATACATTTATATTGTAGAGAGGAACCTAAGGATTGACTGGTGCTATCCAGACATATAGCTGGTATTCTTTATCATCAGAATATTCTTCTATAAATTAAAACTAATCTAATTAACAGCTGTCAGCTAAATCTGTTTTCTCTTAACAGAGAAAAATAGCTCTGTAACTTCAACGTAAGTATCAAACAAAAAAAGTTAACCCCTTTCTCATTCTTTAGTACTACTTTATATTAGCTATCTAATTTTAATCTCAAATATGTCTATATAAATATTACCACTCTTATAATAATAGTAAAAGTAGTTTATATCAAAGAGTTGCATTAAAAATTAACATAATTTAAATAAAATAAAATAAGGTTCAAAATCAACCTTGAGTACAGAGAATACTGGACTAATAATTACATAAGGTTTAGTTTCAACTCTATACATGTAAATATTCAAGTTAAAAATCACAAGAATAAGACTCAATGAATCAATAAGAAAATATATCCTCTGACAGGTTTCCTGCCAGTGATTAGCAGCTCCAATTAAATCACATTTAAGAATATAAGAGGGAAAAGTCTCTAAAGTGTATTGTACTCTTACAGGAAGGAGCATGCAACAGCTGACAGCCACTAAAAGTCATCAAAGTGTACTCTTTATTCAGAGTCCCAATAAAAGACTACAGTATCACATCTGGCATATCAACCTTAATTTGACTTAATTCTTATTAATCTGTAAAATGAAAAAAAATGAGATCCTCATCTTTTTAATCACAACCATTTCTAAGCATGTTTTAGTATGCTTGATGTAGTTCTACTTGATGTACAGCTCTCTTGTTCATTTTCAGGATACTGAATTCATTAAGTACTACGAACAGGTATCACCCTACATCCAGCTGTAGACATGACAAGTAAGTTTACTCTAATAAAAGTACTAAGCAAGCAAAAGAAGTAAAATTAGATTTTTAAGTTATTAAACATGAGAAGAATTAGTTCTTGGAGAGATGGAAACATATTATGTTTTGCTATGGAGTGTCATTAAATAGCTATATGCATTTCTCAAAGTCATCTATCTGTCCACTTAAAATGTGCACATTTTAAGGTATGGAAATTCTACCTTGAAAATATTCATTTTTAAAGAACCAAAAAATGGGAAAATGCTAATTATACAAGTTCACTAAAAAGCTACACGTGCTGTTAATTATTAAATAATGTTCTATTTTATTTCCATGATTCATATGGCAGTTTTCATATACAGTAGAGCTGTAACTATAATTACAATGGACTAGCAAGTTAGTTCATAAAGGGAGGACTATTTTGCTGCATTAATTTAATACTGTAAACTGAAACAGAACAAAACAGTAACTAGCATTAGAAACAATAGAAAAACCAGTCTCATGCTTAGCATCTTAAAAAATGACTACCATATTTAGGAGCACGTGGTGACTCAGCTGGTTAAGCATTTTGACTTTTGATTTCGACTTAGGTCATGCTCTCACGGTTCATGGGCTCAAGCCCCGTGTGGGACTCTGCGTTGGCAGCACAGAGCCTACTTGGGCATTTTCTCTCTCCTCTCTCTGCCCCTTCTCTACTCACTCTCTCAATCTCTCTCTCTCAAAATAAACAAGTTTCTAAAAAAATATAACTACCATATATAAGTAACAATTACTAATAAAATAAAATCAGATGTTTAAAGCTATAATTTTGAAAATGAATGGAAGCCTGTCACTGGGATTTTTTTAAAGAATAAATCCTGCTGCTGCCACAATAACTATTCAATACATAGGCCTATTTACTTACTACTTTCTAACTGTTCATTCTTCTTCCATTAGTTCCCACAACTCTACTGAAACTGCTTCCTCATACCTAGTATCTGCTAATTATTACATCAAACAGTCTTTCATTAGTAATACCCTATATATTCTATTGAAAACCTTTGCCCATTATATTGGTTTCTATTAACACTATATCCTTGTACTGTATTCTCTAATGGCTTACTTTGATTTCTTTCACTCTCAGTCATTTACCTGAATAAATACAGGTAATTTTCAAAGTTCTGTCCTACACATTTTTCTTTGTCCCCCTCTACATATTCTAATCTGGATATGGCCCACATCTAGCTTACCTACTAGAGAAAAGAATGGCAAAGATTACAGCTAATTAATCTTTGTATTCTCTCCAGTTCCTTGAAATATGCCTAACATCTTAAGTCTTCTCTCTACTATTTTAAGCTTTCTTTCACAATGGATAGCTAATAAAAATTAAAGATCTGAAATAATTCAGATTCACAGAAAAAGAAATATATGAAAATAAAGAATAAAAATAAAATAGAGTATCTTCCACTCTTTGAAACATTACCTGTGAGAATCTTCAAATAATCTACTAACATACATATTTTATATTAAAAAATAAAATACTGTTGGAGCAAGCCCTATTGACAGGATTATACTTCTAATGAAGATAAAGTAAGACTTTCAAAGTTGTCATTTTTAACTATGAATAATTCCAGAAATAGAGTAACATCAAAAAGCTACTATCATTTAAATTTTATCAAACTGCTGGAGAGAGATACAATTCCTACGGTATGCAATTTGGCAAGTGTTTACCAAAATTACAAATTTGCATACTCCTTGGCCTGGATATTGTATTCACTGCAAAGCATCCATAAACTCACATGTGAAATAATGAATGTACAAGGTTATTCCCTGAACGCTGTTTGTGATAACAAAAGGAAAAATACATATATCGGTAAATAAGATTCTGATTAAAAACTAAAAGTGTTGATGATAATGACAATGATGGTGGTGGCAGCTAACACTTAGATGCTATCTGGTGATCTAATAAATAAGTTTACACATTTAATTTTCACAACAATACCTATGAAGAATGTACTGTTTTTCTCTCATTTTACAGAAGAGAAAATTGAGGCACCAAGAGATTTAGCAACTTGCAAAAGGGGTTTAAAGGGGTTTCCCAGTAGCAGGTTCAGGTCTATATGCAGACAGTCTGGCTACAGAGGGTCCATGACTAACCACAACTTTTAACTGACTAAAAACAAGAATCCATGCCAAAAAGAATAAAGCTGTCTATGCTTGACATGGAAAGGTCTGTAGGATATATTCACAAGTGAAAAAGGAATATACATATATACATTTGATTATATATGACTTAAAATATTTCTGTAAAGATACACAAATAACTGGCAAAATTGGTTGCCTCCGGGAAAGGGAAATACGTGGTTGAGGTTTAGGGATATAATGCAGGTATTATTTTGCATACCATTTGCATTTCCTGAAATTTGAACTATACAAATGTATTCCTCAAAATAAGGAATGAATACATTTCAAATAAAAAGTAAAATGTTAAAACTAAAGTGAAAGACAGACCGTGATTAATCTTTGCCTGTAAAGCATTTGTGTGGTCACTACCAATACACACTCATTAGAGGATAGGCTAAGAATGCTTCACAAAAGTTTGCCAGAAACGTGAAATTTTGTTTTTCTTACCAGGCTATTAGAGAACACAAGAGATGGAATTGAAAAGCAATATGAAAACAAGGCTGAAGAACATATCCTTGGCAAAATTAGTAATATGGACAACAATGAAAAGAAACTGTAATTGTGTTTACAGCAACCACAACATGATCCCGTTAAGTCATGGTACGGTCACTTAAAATCTTTGGCATTAGACATAGTAAGGTTTAAATCTCAGCTCCACCATTTACTAAGCTATAGGGCAGTGAAAAAATCTATTGTTTTCTATAAAACTCAGATTTCTAATCTTTAAAATGGTGAGAATACCAATGCAGGGATTTGTTTTGTTCAATGCTGTAATTCCTAGTACCTAAAATAGTGCTTAGTAACATAAAGAGACTGAAAAAAAAAAAATGTTTGTTGAACAAATGACTAAGGATGATAGGAAAACAAAATAAGGTAACAAGTGTAAAGAACTTAGTATTATGCTTGGAGCACGTCAGATGCAAGATGCATGGAAGATGCTCACCTTCTTTGAGCACTCCTTTTCTGAAAGTCCATCCTGCCCACTTGGAGGGAAGCTAAAATCTCTAGTTTTTGAGCTCTACTGAAAGCCAAATTCCTAACTGGGCATGCTGCCAGGTTAATGCCATTTGAAGAATGAAACCAGTCATCTGTTATTCCAGAACCAGGCAAAGTCAGCAGTTCTCTAACCACCCAGACCAAAGCTTCCACTTCCAGACACTAACCATCTCTTTCTAAAATGATTAGAACTCACCATAAAGATGAGTGAAGGTGATAAAGAAGTCACTGTCAAACCAGCAGGAACCTACAAATTCTTATCCCCCATTTATATAAAACCCATGGTTTAGAACACTGTCTCACCTCATCCTCTTCATTTTGGATTCTACCCTTCCTCTATTCTATGATGGAATAGAATCTATCCAGAACTCTAGCCTTGTTTGTATCCTTCCAACTAGGTATAGAAGCAGACAGAAGAGAAGACTGAAAGCAGACAGAACTTTCTTAGCAGTAAATCAATTATCCAAATACAACAAAAAGCCCTTCTGGGTTTATACCTTCTATGACACTAACATTCTGGTTCCCTCAAATTACTGAACCTAGCTCCCCTAAATTACTAAACCAAACAAATTACTGGTGTAATATACAACACTGCCTAAGAGCACTTAACAGAGAGCCTTCCTAAGAGCTTTCTTACTGTTCCATGCATGAAACAGCTTTCTTTTTTAAAGCTTTTCTTTTAAAGAGGATTATAAAGTCTTAATAAATAAAC